ATTCATTATCGTTCTTCTTGAATAATAAAAAATATTGTTCAAGTCAAACGATTCATCATCATTCTTCTTGAACGATAAAAAAATCGTTCAAGTCAAACGATTCATCATTGTTCTTCTTAAATGATAAAAAAAATCGTTCAAGTCGAACGATTTGTCATTGTTCATCTTGAATGATAAAAAAATATCATTCAAGTCAACTCAAGTCAATTCGAATCAAGTCAAGTTTAAATTGAGTCAAGTTAAATATTTAACTCAACTTGAATTTGACTTGACTCGCAAATCATCAAGTCAAGAAAACATAAACTCAACTCGATTTTAAACTCAACTTGGCTTATCTGACTCGTGAGTTAACTCGACTTGTCCAGAACTTTAAATTTAAATAAATTTATATATTAGATTATATATAAAAATTATAGTTACATTTTTTAATATATTTGATAATTATCTTTTTGATTATCTAACAAGCAAATTAATCTGCAAACTTATATAAAAGTATTAAATTTTAATTAATATATACTGATATAGTTTAATATATATTTTATTAACTTTATTAAAAGTTATTTTAAGTTTATTAAGAAGTTTATAATTAAAGTTATTTTTAATAATAAAATTTATTATATTAAGATTAATAGTACTAAAAGTAAATTTTAAATAAGATTGTCAAAAGGTTAATAATAAAATTTTTAGTTTATAAGTGGGGATGGGAAATTAACGGTTATTTAAGATTTGGTTAATTAACCGTTAATTAACATTATATATATTTTTGTATCACTACATAATTCTAAATAATAATTTTGTAAAAAATTTTAAAAAGTTTCCTTTTGTTTTGATTGGTCAACTAAAAATATCCTTTGGTTAATTATCTTTTGGTTTATCCTTTTGGTTAATTAACGGTTAATTAACCAAGTTAATTAACGCCCATCCCTACTTAGAAGTAACTTTAGATTCTTAATAATATAATTAAATAATAAACGTTATATATTTATAAAATTAATTTAATAAAAAGAAAATAAACAGGCAAATTTGCCTGAGAACCCCTGCAATCTAAGAGATAATTAAATAAATATAATATTTAAAATTATAAAACTCTTATAATAATTAAAAAATTCTCATTGTAAAATGATTCAAACCGTTTTTTTTTTTTAATATATATCTTTCAATACTGTATATATTTATTTGTTTTAGATCTTCAATCAATTGGGCGCGCGGAATATGATATACTATGCCTCGTGAGTCACACTTTGTTTAATCTTACATTTGTAAGTTTAGAGCGACATATGTCATCTGAACAACCGAAAAGAAATACAATTATTAATCATGTTTATTTATAAATAAAAAAATCATATTACTGCTATTAATAAAGATATAAGGGCGAAAGGTGTATGGATACGTTATATTCTAGCTTCTTAATTCTCATATTGAGTTAATTCGGTCATAAAAGAGACCGATCAGCCAGCAAACAGAAATTTGTTTCGGTTAAATGACTAAATTGAGACGAGACGAATACTGCGGCGCATGAAATTACTACGCCATAAAATAAAATTGCTAAACCGAATAGGACCCAAATGAACACCATATAAACAAAAATATAAACAATGAAACGTATAATAAAGTTTGTGTTCTTACTCCTACTTTTTTTTTTTACATAATTTCTTATTACCACCATTTTTTAAACACAAACATTTAAATAACACCCCCAAAAAAATTATTTTCGACACAATAATTATCGCATTATTAAACATTGAAACTTTAAAATGTGTTACGTCAGGCACGCAATATCACAAGTTTCAGGAAGTAATGAACTTTGAGGTTCGTAAGAAAGGCTTGTATTCCAAGAAGCTAAAATTTTACTGTCTCATTTGTTAAAAATTAAATTACCATATTACCATAAAAGATCCACCGGCAGATCCATTAAAATTGAGATTCACAAGATTTATTTATTATGAACTTATTCTTTAAAATTACGTAATAACATAATGGGTATTTGATTATAGTTAACAATAACATCATAACAATCGCAAAATCCGAAATCTAATTTTAGACTAATTTCCATTAATAGTAATTTAAATTTTTCTCCATAAGAATTACTTACCATATATACATTTTCACTAATTTATTCAACAAAAGAAATGCCTTCATTATTTATATAATCTTTTATATACAAATAAGTCTCGAATGTATTATTCATATAATGTAAATACTTAGGATTGTTCATTTTAACGTAACCATATCTGTTAAATCAACTTATTTGTTTGCAACTTATTGTAAGAAAAGAAATAAATTTCCTTTCAGGCATCAAATAATAAAATTCCGACTTTTTTTTTGAATGGTGATGATCTTGCCTCATTGCTGCGGGTAAATATGATTCGTACCAATCAACGGTAATATTTAGTCGCACTTAATCATAATTATTTCCAAATTTAGTCATAGCTCCTTGATTATAAAGTGTTACAAACGAAAAATAAATAATTTAAAAAAAAAAAAATCATAACTTATGTCAATGTATAAATTTGACCATTCTCCACATTCAAAAAGCGCCATTTTGACGAAATATCCGTAAGTTACAACATGCAAGATCAATGGAAGATTCATATTTGTAATGTGCCGTGGCACTCATTTTCAAGCCATTTGTTATAGAGAATAAATATAATGGCTAAATTTGCGTCCTCGGTTTTGCCCGGACTATTTAAAATCCGATTCACATGAAGATCATTTATTTTTGTATCACCTGACACATATTGCCAATATATATAGTGGAGGTAGATGAAAAATAACTCAGTAACAACCTCTCCTTTGCCAACAAACAAAACTTCCCCCCGTCGGTTCTTTTTTTTTCGTCGTAAAAAAAGACGCTACGATATATACTAAAAAAAAAAAATGAGCTCGAACGATAAATCTTGTTGTAGAAATTGTGCTGTCCTTAAAGCACAACTTGAACAACAAGAAGACGCCGCAGCTAGATATCTAAAATTCATTCAATCTCAAAATGAGCTTATCCAATTTTTGTCACAAAATAAATCAACGCTTGAAGCTTCCTCACCTCGTAGACATTTTTCTCAATACGCTTATGAACAAAACTATAATGGATCGGATGCGTCTTACGATCAAGGTATTAGAAGAGCTCGTGGAAAACAGAGTAAGAAATATGTGTAATATTTTTTATCTTAATTCATTGATTTATAATTCTTTTGTTTTACTTAATGGTCCTATTTTACAAAAGTTCAAATGACTAAAGACTGTCGCGCTTTTATCGGTTCCATTACGAGCGATATCGATAAAGATTCGTTGAAGCATTGTCTTGAAGAAGCTTTTGGACCAGTTGATAGTATTGATATTATATCATCCAAGGTAATAAAGGGAGGAAAACTCCTATTTTTTCGCCGTTTTCCAATATATACTCTTTTTTTTTTTTTTTTTTTTTTATTTAATATTAATTTATATTGTCTTAGCGTTATTTTTAATTTATGAAGTGTGACCAAATTAAATATGAAAAAAAAAAATCTTTTTTGATATAATAGGCTTGCGCATTTGCAGACTTTGCTTCACCGACTGCATATCATAACGCCGTTAGCGAGGGTGCCGTATTAGTCAATGGAATAGCATTAAGCGTCGAAAGAGTGAGGAAACCCAAACCACGGAAATGAATATAACGGATCATGATACTATAATGCGAGCGATAAAAAAAAATATGGTTAACATTTATCGGTTTTTCTTTATTTTACATCTGTATTTTGCGATTTGGAAGTTACGACGGAATATGTACTCCTTATATCCTTTCTTTACTTCTTTCCTTACCCGTTACTTTGAATCATTATTGATTTTTATAATTCGTTGGCATCCTTGTTATGTTTATATTGAATAATTGCTTATTTTCCTTTCCTTTTGTGTAAAATAATTAATAAGAATTCTTATAAACACACATTTTTTCGCAATGATTCGCGGCGGTTAATATTCAAACGTTGGCGTTCAAAAACTATTGCGATTTGCGTTCACATATTTTATCATTCTTTTTTTTTTTTATTTTTTTATTTTTTTTTTATTTTTTTTTTTTTTTTTTTTGAGCTAATGGAGAAAAATTTTTAAAAAATCGAAAAAAAAAAAAAAAAATTTGAAGTTAATTTTTTTTAAAAAAAGCAAAAAAAAAGAAGCAAAAAGACAAAAACAAAAAAAAATTATTAAAATTTTAATCCTTCATAGGTTAAAAGAAATTATTAATAATAATAATAAAAAAAAAAAAATTTTTTTATCTTGACATTTATCTTTATTATTGTCGAGGTAAATTTTCATGCTACATATTAAAGCAATTTATTAATTTCTATAGAATTAGAAATATTCTAATTTTGTTTTTTCTAACCTTTATCTTGATTTCTAGGGGGTTTATAGAAGTAATAAAGGTTCGGTTATGGGAATAAAGCTTTTACACAAATTTAGTGTAATAGTTTTGGTACAAATAAAAAAAAAAAAGAAGAATTCCGCACATCATATACCCAGAATATTCCCAGTATGAAATGTTAAAGGATGAAAAAAAAAAAAAATCATTTATTAATTTAATTATTACAGAAAACTTTAAGTTTATATAATACATACAAAATTAAATAAATGCATCTTTAAACTCAAAATCCCATATTATTAATAATCTTATTTTTATTTCCTATTTTGTATAAAGTTTTAAACTTCCTTTGAGCCCTCTCAACGTAGTTATATCTACATTCGTCATGTAATTCCCTGTAAGTCTCGTTTTCTCCTTGTAACCTTTCAATTTCCCTTTTCTTCTTTTCAATCCAATCATTTCTTTCATGCTTTTTTAATTGATCATATTCTTTTAATAAGTTTATTACTTCGGAAATAAGAAAGGTTTGCGGCTGCCAGCAAATTATATCAAATGATTTTGGCAATTCTTGTAAACATTGTAATAACTTTTCAGGTACTTTCCATTTAGATTTTAACGTTTCTCCACTAAAACGAAAGAATATATTGTATATATATAATAATAAATGATAGATAAAGATTAAATGAAGATTTAAAATAAAGATAACCTCTTATATTCTTACCTTATAACCCTTTTCGTCAAGCATTTCACACAACTGTAAAATTTGCCTTCCCAGTACATGGTTAATTCCATTTTATTTGTTTGATCACAAAAGTGACATTTTTCACATAAAGTCATCAACCAAATATATTGTTGTTCGCTCATCCTTTTAAGAGGTTCTTTATTATAAGTATGTAAGAATGGAGGTGGAAGGGTCAAATTCGGTACGAAACTTAATCTTGAGAGACGCCAAATATCTTGAGTTGTCGTAGTTGTTGACCATAATAATGATCGATACTTTCTACATACCGAGGAAAGTGAATAAAGATCATTGGGGGTTAGATGTAGGCAAATTTCGATTATAATCTCTGTAGGAATTTTCGTTGCCATTTGTTCCGAATCATCAATCGAGAGGAAGTTTCAAAAATGGGACTTTTTAAATCAAAAATTATAATTGAATTTGGAAAGTTTCAATTTTGCTTTTTCGTACTCGGAAAATTATTCACTGGTTTTGGAATGTAAATTTTTTTACCTGAAAAGTTAGGAAATGTGGCACTTGATACTTACTTAGTATGAGATTTTTTCGTGCGACCTTTAAAAAGGACATCAGATGATTTTTTTTAGCCTCGTTCGTTTTTAATTTAACCAAAAAAGAAACGTGGTACATGTTTATTGATTGCGCAGTGTAAGTCGTCATTCCTTTATTGGTTACGCAACCATAACAAAAGTCGGATCTTTTTGTGGGTCGTTATTTTCGTTATTTGATTTTTCGTAACGTTATTTTTGATATCCTTTCCTTTTTAAAAAAGAAAAAGATTTGCAACGTTTATTTGTTACCAGGAGGAACGAGAAAATACAATGATGTAATTTACAACAAGGATGACTTCTTTGTTAAAAAAATTTATTTTTTGACTATTACAATGAATAAAGGAGGAAATGCACATATTTATTGCCTATTGAAAATGATAAGTCTAAAAACATTGCTCAACAAACTAGTTTTGAGAGGTTTTGAGCAAGTTTCTTCTTGCGCCCCTTTCCTTTCTTTCATCTTTCCTTCATAATGTACTTTTTTTATTTTATTTTATTTTTTTACGAGATGTTTTTCTCGTACAATATCAGCAAAAACTTACGAGTGAAAAAAAAAAACTTTGAAATATGACAAATCCTTGAAACATGAGTCTGGATTTTCTATGATTTACTATAATTTTAATAAACTATATCCAAAGTCTCAATTCAAGGACTTATGGCCAATCAAGACTCTGTCCGTAATCAAATGGAAGATATACTATATCTCCTTTACGAACAACTCAGTTTAAACAAATCTTTACAGGACTAGGATTTACAATGAATATGTAATATAGTAAATCAAATTGATACAAGTCGATCAAGAATCAATAACATAACTTTTAAAATGTGAAAATTGCAAAAATGGTTCTAATAGACACTATCATGAGAAAGTGCTACCAGAGACCGTAAATGGTCCACGTGGTTTTTTTTTTTTTTGAAAATTAAACATAATATCGTAAAATTAACATTCATCGATACCTACGATACTAATTTCGGTGCCAATATTTGATTCGCATCAACATCAAATATGCAACTATTACACAAACCTGTGTAGCATATATAGTATACTTTAAAAACTATACATGTATGGCTTTTTAAAAGTCCATACTTGTATGGTTCTAGTACATACTATACAGTATGAAAAAAAAAGCCTACATTTTCCGCATTCTCTCCCAAAGAAAGTTTTAAATAAATGTAAAAAAAAAAAAATTTATTCAGGATATAAATTGTCTGTTATACTTGGATATTTTTAATAGTTTTTTTCTTCTTTACGTTCAGTAAATGGAAAAAAGCCAAATATACCATTAGGCTTATGATTATGTGGACTACCTATTTTAATAATGGGTTGATGGACTATTCTTCCATTATAGATAACAGAGTAACTCTGAGATGATGATGCTTTATTTCAATTTTAAAATGAACGAATAATTTTTACAAGTAAATTGCGTTAAATATATTAAATTTATGCAAATTAATATATTTTATATTCATTTGCTGAAAAATATTCGCCAAGTATTTATCATTTTTCGGCTTATCTTTGAGCCTCTGTCTTGGATACGTTTGCGTTTATAATTGTAAGTTATTGCGTTAAAAAGTTAACCTTAACAGACACCTGAGCGAATCCTTTGAGAGAATAAATTACATCGTGCACATTAAGAGCAAAAAAAAACCAACATATTGTTACGAAATTAACGAATAGGAAATTTCAATAAACCCCTTAATTTGATTTTCTGATCAACTTATTTTAATCAGGATTTTTGCCCTTCAATGATTTCATCCATACTCATTAAAATTTTAAGCTCATTAAAGAAAGGATCTACAAGTTTAAGCTTGCTTACTAAATATTAAAGATAGAAAATACTATTATATACTTATTTATAATAAAAAAAAAATAATATTTTACTCTTATAAATTTTATTATTAATAAATAATAAATTTAATTAAAAATTTATTAAGTTTTTATTTAAAAGTTTATATTAAATCCAAAAAAAATAATGCATAACTTTTTATAAAATTATTATTTATAATAATATATTTAAAAATTTATTTTTGTTAATAAAATATTATTAATTTTTGTATTATATATCTTTTTAAATATATTAAACAATTTTATTATATTTATTATTATATTTAATATTTAATTTTTTTTTTTTTTTACAAAAATCTTATATATTTTATTTAGGTAATTTCTAATTATATATATACAGTAGCGGTCATAAGTATCTGACCGCCTCTAACTCCGGCTACAAGTAAGTAAATTCAAAATTTTTTTTTTATT